GCCACGCCCCCAGCCCCTCACTGGGGGATTCTAGGCAGGGGCTCTACACTGAGCCACCCCCCAGCCCTTCCCTTGGGGATTTTAGGCAAGTGGTCTAGTAGAGTCTGGGTGTGTGGCTCAGTGATGTAGCACAAGGCATGGCTCAGTAGCAGAGCATCTGCCTAGAATCCCACATTACAGAGATGGGAACATGGCTCATGAAGAACATCTGTGAGACTCTGGCCTCAACCTCTTGTATTAACACACACACACACACGCCTCTTCACAGCTCCAACAATAGAACAGAGATGTCCCACCTGGCCCCATCTCAGCATACCCCGATCACACGTGAACTTCTGCTTTCTGCAGGTCTGACCTGTCCCTGGGGAGACACCTTCATGAGGCCGGATGACAAGAGTGGAGGAGATCAAAGACACACAAATGGTTTGTGTTTGCCCCTGGGACACTTGAGAAAGGAGAGATGAAGGCAGCTGCAAGGGAGGAAGTAGAACCCAGGACATAAAGTGTAGCCAAGGTGTAGGATTACCTAGTGACATTAGAATATGGTGAATGAGAACCTAGAGATGACTTAGCAGGTAAGCGCGTGGGTTACTCTTGGAGAGGACCCAAGTTCACTTCCAAGCAGCCATACGAGGAGGCGCACAGCTCCCTGTTCGTCCAGTGTCAGGGAATCCAACACCTGGGGCCTCTGCTGGCACACTAATGTGTGCATCTCCACACACAGACACAGAGAGACACATAATAATGAGAAATATATGTGTATATAATGTATATATAATATATAATATATATATATAGTGTGTGTTTGTGTGTGTGTGTGTATCCATCCCCTGGAACTGGAGTTACAGATACATGATTGTGAGTCAACATACAGATGCTTAGACTCAAACTTGGGTCCTCCGGAAGAGCAGTTAGTACTCTTAACCTCTGAGCCATCTCTCTAGCCCCTGATCAGTTTTAAATATTTTTTTCAACTGATGGTTCCATCTTTTGTTTCTTGGGATCCAGAGCAGATCCCAGGTCTTCTCTAGGTGGCATTTCCCCTGCTGAGTAATTAGAGCCGATGATACTTCTTGATGGACAGCCGTACAGCTGGGCAGGCCTCTGAGTGGAAACCACTGGAAGGGAGTGCTGGGTGACATACAAGCCTTGAAGCCAGATGAAATATTCATCGCTAGTCACCTCCACCATGAGGCCTTCCAGGCCTGCACACAGCTCCTGTCTACTCCTTTTTTATTTTTGAGACAGGGTCTCTTGTAGTCTAGGATGGCCTGAAGCTCACTTTGTCCCTGAGGTTGGCTTTGTATTCTTAATACCTCTGCGTCTACTCCCCAGTGCCGTCTACTCCCCAAGTGCCGTGATTACAGGTGTGCACCAATACTCTTTGGTTTCGTGGGTTTACTGCTTGTTCATTGGTCGGTTTGGGTCTCCAGCCAGGAAGATAAAGCAGCACTACGCATGGATTCTCAGGGCCCGTGGGTCTGAGTGGCAATTTGCTGCCCTCTGGTGGTAGTATGTAGTACTACAGGTCCAAAGCCTGTGACGAGAATCCAGAGGGAAGGAAAGGTGGGCTTGCAGCAAGGAGCACAATCTCAAATCTGGCTCCTGCCTTGAGGAGGCACCACGTCCCCCACAGTCCTGCCAGGATCTCATCCCATCCACCACGACTTTTGCCACGACTCATACCCTCAAAGATCCGGGGACAGACCACTGAGTTCGAGTCTGTGTGATCCTGAGGTAAGCAGCATGGGTATGTATCAGCTCTTTATTTAACCAGGTTCAGAAGAGGAAGAGGGAGAGGAGTGTGGGTATCAGTCTTTCTCTATTTAATCAGGATTGGAGGAGAAGGAGGAAGAGGATGGGGAGGAGGAAGAGGAAGAGGAAAAAGAGAAGGAGGAAGAAGAGGAGGAGGAAGGAGAGGAGGAGGAGGAAGAGGAGGAGAAACCTAACAACTGTGAAAGCTACCAAATGTACACCACGTCCACTGAGAAATTGTGATTATGGCTGTTTGCAGAAATCTGGTGTTGGAAAGGATTGTCGAGGGCTCGCAGCTTCTCGAAGGTGATTCAGCATAGGATTTGAGTAAACATGCTTTGACTCAGTACAAGATGTTATTAGGGGTCGCTGATTATATATTTAAATAATAATATTATTCTTTACAGTACAGGGATCGGACCCTGGGGACTGTATATGCTGGGCAACCATGCTCATTGTAGGTAACATCACCAACCCCTTGCTGGTGGATTTGAGGCAAGTCTCTACCACTGAGCATAGCAAACCCTCAGTTGCTTTTGCCTTGGCTATGTTTTGAGACAGAACATCACTATGTAGTCCTGGCTGCCTGAAACTTGATAGGCAGACCAGGCCAGCCTTGAACTCATAGAGATCTGCTTGCCTCTGACACCCGAGTGCTGGGATTAAAGGTGCCTAGCACCGTAACTGATGCCCTTAATTTTTCAGACAAAGTCTTGAGATATAGCCCAGCTTGCTTTGAAATCTCTGTGCCTCTGCCTCCTGAATACTAAGATTACTTGCATGAGCTACCATACTCAACTGGATACTTTTCTCTTTTGTAGTGTTGTTTCTCATGGTTCTGGGAGATAATAGAACACAGGCTTGTGCTTTAGGCCTGAGTCAGGCCGTACCTCCCAGCAGCTCTCTGGGGCACAGTTCAGAATCAGTCAGTGGTGTGATCTGGCAGCTCTCAGGTTAGGGTGTCTGGCTCTTCTGTGGTTTTTGTCATGTTCACTGTGCTGAACTGAACCACATGGTGAGAACCTCTGTGATGCCCCCTAAATACCAAAAAAGACCCTTCCTTTATCCTAGGAATTTGGTCACTCCTCAGGGGAATTCGCTGCGGGATTATTCTGGAGGCTCCTCTGTGCCCTACACATGACCTCTTTTGATCTCTCTCTCTCTCTCTCTCTCTCTCTCTCTCTCTCTTCCTTCCTTCCTTCCTTCCTTCCTTCCTTCCTTCCTTTCTCCCCAGTTTTAATGAAGCTCCTCTCCAGGTTCCAAAAGAAAGCCTCTTGATTCCTTTAAGGCCCCCTCATGCTCAGAGCTCCGTATATTGTACTGTTTCTGCCTAAAGTTCTCCCGCCCAGACCAGGCCCAGCTCTGAGGCCCTTTCATTCAAATAAGCTTCTTGAAAGGACTTGTTTCAGTTCCCTGGCCTATAAGCTGTTACTCTTGCCAGCTTTCTCAGTGTAGCCCTGACTGTCCTGGAACTTGCTGGCCTCGAACTCAGGGATCCGTCTGCCTCTGCCTCTGCCTCTCTGCCTCTCTGCCTCTCTGCCTCTCTCTCTGCCTCTCTGCCTCTCTGCCTCTCTGCCTCTCTGCCTCTCTG